TTTATATATTGTATGTTATATAATATACAAATAAGATATATATCCTTTAAACAATTTTATATATCATGTTATATAATATATGGCTATGTATTATATATCACATATGTTTACATATATTATGTTTACATATATTATGTAATATATGTTTATATATATTTATGTATATATATGTTTATTATGTAATAATATGTAAGCATATATAATATATAAATTGTAAAAAATGTATATATCTTTTTTATTTATATATAAATAGATATCTTTATATATCTTTTTCTTATATGTTATATAAATAACATATATGTAATTTATATAAGTAAATTGTTATAACTAGTAAGTAAATTGTTTAATGTGTCATCAGGTAAAAAATGCTATAGGGAAAAGAAAAAGCAGAGCAGGATAAAAGGGGACCAGGACAGCTGGAAGGGGGTTGCAATTTTAAACACAGCAGGTAGGGTGGGCTTCACTGAGGAGGTGGCATTTGAAGGAAATGCAGACAGGTATCTGTGGCAGGAGCATTGCAGGCAGAGTGAGCAGCAACACAGTCCCTGAGGGGAATGGGACTGGCGTGCTCGGGCATAGCCAGGAAGCTGGCAGGCTGGAGCAGGGCGAGAGTGGGGAAACTGCTGGGAGATGAGGTCAGGGAGCAGCCCAGGGAAGGGGGACGCAACATGCGTCTTCGACTTTCATTCTCTGTGAGATGAGGAGCCTCTGCAGCGTTTTGAGCCAAGGGGTGACACCATCTGACATATGCTGTCAAAGGTCGACTCTGGCTGCTTTGAGGACACCAGGCTGTCGGGGTGTAAATTAGGATCTACTACTGCAGTAATCCCTGAGGTAGATGGTGATGAACTGGACCAGAGTGGTTGCAGTGAAGGTGGTAAGAAGTTGTTAGATTTGGGAAATGTATTTTGACATGAGGGTTAATGGGATTTCCTGAAGGATTTGATCTAGGATGCAAGAAAAAGGCAGGCGTTTAAGATGATTTGCAGGGTTTTGGCTTGAGCATAAGGAAGGATTTAAATGCCAACAAGTGGATTTAGGAAGACCGTGGATGAGCAGGTTGAAAGGGGGGGAAATTGAAGGGTTCTGCCTGGGACGTGATCAATTGGAGGTGCCCATTAGAAATGTGAGCAGGCAGTTGGATTTCTGAGTCAGTAGTTTGGGAGATCTAGAGTAGATGTTGCTTAAAGCCACAACAGGATAAGGTCAAAGCAATCAGTATAGGCAGAGAAGAGAAGAAAACTAACATTAAAAAGTTGGAGGACGGGCGTGGTGGCTCACGCCTGTAATCCCAGCACTTTGGGAGGCCGAGGTGGGCGGATCACCTGATGTCAGGAGTTCAAGACCAGCCTGGTCAACATGGTGAAGCCCCGTCTCTACAAAAATACAATAGTTGGCCAGGCATGACGGTGGGCACCTGTAATCCCAGCTACTCAGGAGGCTGAGGTGGGAGAATCGCTTGAACCCGGGAGGTGGAGGTTGCAGTGAGCCAAGATCATACCATTGCACTCCAGCCTGGGCAACAGAGTGAGACGCCATCTCAAAAAAAAAAAAAAAAAAAAAAAAAACAGTTGGTAAGTAACTTGGGAGGCTGAGGCAGGAGGATCACTTGAGGCCAGGAGTTTGAGACCAACCTGGGCAACACAGTGAGACTTCATCTCTATGAAAAATAATAAAAAAATTAGTCGGGCACTGTGGTGTGTACCTGTGGTCCCAGCTACTTGAGAGGCTGAGGTGGGAGGAGCCCTTGAGCTCAAGAGGTTGAGGCTGCAGTGGGCCATGATCACACCACTGCACTCCAGCCTGAGCAACAGAGTGAGACTCTGTGTCATTAAAAAAAAAAAAGTTGAGAAGAAGAGGAGAGTGCAGCGAAGAAGACTGAGAAAGAGGACACAGTGAGGCAGGAGGAGGTCCACAAGAGGGTAGAGTTCTGGAAGCCTGGTGAAGGCCAGAGCAGGAGGTGGGGGTAGGGGTGAGCCCATGAGATGAGGACAGAAATGGCTATGGGGCTTAGCACTATGGAGGCCACTGGCAACCTCCTGTGTGCGAAACCTGACTGAAATCCGCTTAAGGGGGCAAAATTGGAGGTTTTACTGCAAAAGGTAACAAAGAAATTCGGTGGGAGCTGGTGGGAGCAGAGTGAAAAGAATTTTGTTGTTGTTGTTGTTTTGTGCCTTTTTCTGAGTAGGAAAAATAACAGCATACAGCATATTTGCATGATGAACATAATGAGCTAACAATAATATTCAACAATATAAATATATAATGTTTTGATCCAATCAACAACATTACAAATGTTCCAGAGAGGGCTGGGCCCAGTGGCTCATGCCTGTAATCCCAGTGCTTTGGGAGGCCGAGGAAAAAGGATCACTTAAGGCCAGGAGTTGGAAGTTACAGTGAACTGTGATAGCACCAGTGCATTCCAGCCTGGGCAACAGAGTGAGACTCTGTCTCAAAAAAAAACAGTTTCAAATGGGATTTACTATATATGCTTTTCTTTTCTTTTTCTTTTTTCTTTTTTTTAAATTGAGGCAGGGTCTTGCTCTGTCACCCAGGTTGGAGTGCAGCGGTGTGATCTCAGCTCACTGCAACCTCTGCCTCCCAGGCTCAAGCGATTCTCCTGCCTCACCCTCCCGAGTAGCTGGGATTACAAGCGTGAGCCACCATGCCTGGCTAATTTTTTGTATTTTCAGTAAAGATGAGGTTTCACCATGTTGGCCAGACTGGTCTCGAACTCCTAACCTCAGGTGATCTGCCCACCTCAGCCTCCCAAAGTGCTGAGATTACAGGCGCAAACCACTGTGCCCTGCCCATTTTCATTTTTAATGCCTGAGAATGTTCTGGCTTTTGAATGTATCATAATTTGTTTAACCAATTTCTTATTGGACGTTTTCATTTTTTATTTTTAATTTTTGCTTTTATAAATAATCATGCAGTGGACATCCTTATACATATAAATCAGCCCAATTTCCTAACTATTGCCTTAGGATGAGCTTCTAAGAGTAGAAGTGCTGGGTCAGAAAATGAAAACATGTTAAATAATTTTAACGCATATCATCAAATAGCTAAATCTCCATTTTAGAATCAACCAAAGTCACTTAGACCTGCTCTTCTCACAGTTATATTTTTCTATTATACCTGTCATGGGTGCATATGTTACATTTATTTGTGTGATTATCTGATTAACATCTGTTTCTCCCACTAGACTGCAACCCAGTGAGTGCAGAGATGGCACCTGTTTCTGCTCACCGCTGTATCCTTAGCTCTTGGCTGACAGCTTGTCATATAGTAGGCAGTCAGTAAATAACTGCTGATGAGGGAATGAATGGATGTAAAGCTTAATTCAATGAATAGGGTAGAAGATCACACTACCAATGAATAGGGTAGAAGATCATAATGTCATTTGGGGATAAAATAAAATGTGACTATCAATCACCCCCAGTGCCATGCAGGGTACCTGGCATGTAGCTCCAAAAGTGTTTGCAATTGACTGATTAATGCATGAATGAAGTATATCTCTTTTATAAAATCCACCTTCTTGTGTGGCTTAATGAATGGAATAATTGTGGATCCTCCCAAGGTCACTTCTTTGGAGAAAACAGTCTGTCTACATCTGGGTGCAGCTCCCTGGGGCCTGGCTAACGCTTAGCCAAACTCCTGTTTCCAGCATGGAGTGCCTTGGTCCAGTGGCCAGCAGGTGGCAACAAATGGTTATTAAAGCGGTGGCTGAGCGCTAGAGGCTCTCTCCGGACGAGGTGTCTCTCCTGGTGTGTCCCCCAGGGCCTGTGTTTCGGAAACTCCAGCAAGCCAGCCCAGCAGGCCGTTTCGGGTGACGAAGGCACCTCAGGAACTGCAGTTGCTCCTCAGAAGAGTCAAGAAAGGGGGGTCAACTTTCAGCCCCTGAAAGAGCCTGACTTTGCATTTCTATTTCACAAGCTTACAGTTCTGAGTAATTGTACTGGAGGGCTGAAGAGTCAAAGGCAATTCATGTGCAAATCTAGGCTTCTTCGGGCATGAGATTTCATCCGGTTCACACCAGATGACCTGCCTCTGTCATGTCTCAGTCTGTCTGCAATGGTCAGTTTCTTTTGTTTTTTTCAGCCAAGCTCAGTGCCATGCAATCAGGCTGACAGTCTGTAGTAATGATTGGGTTTGTTAGCACTGGATTATACAAAGGCTTCTAACTACATACAAAAAGGTTACTTGGCCGGGCGCGGTGGCTCACGCCTGTAATCCCAGTACTTTGGGAGGCCGAGGCGGGCAGATCACGAGGTCAGGAGATCGAGACCATCCTGGCTAACACAGTGAAACCCCGTCTCTACTAAAAATACAAAAAATTAGCCGGGCGTGATGGCGGGCGCCTGTAGTTCCAGCTACTCGGGAGGCTGAGGCAGGAGAGTGGCGTGAACCTGGGAGGCAGAGCTTGCAGTGAGCCGAGATCGCGCCACTGCGCTCCAGCCTGGGTGACAGAGCGAGACTCCGCCTCAAAAAAAGAAAAAAGAGGTTGCTGACCATCATTATGGGTCCCCCCGACCTTGGTGCTGTTTCTTCCAGGGGCAGGAATGGATTTGCCCCCGTCCTGCTTCACACTCTCCCTTTTCCTTTGGGTCTAAGGGTAGAGGGGAAATCACCCTGTACTGCAATCCTGTTACCTATCACCTCGTTCTCACAACAGCTCAGCTGTGCACGTGACATATGTCATGTGTCTGAGCTCGCTTAGGTACAAGTACCAGGAGGGGAATCTGATATTTCTGACCCCAAACACGATGCTCTCTCCACTACACTTATGGTTCAAATTGTGCTCCAAGAAGCTCTTCTGAGGTGGCCATGAGAGAAGGGAAGGAGGAGAGAGAGCAGACGGGGAGGAGTGGCCAAAAGGGTGGTGCTCCCTGCTTCCCACCCTTGCTTCATCTAGAACAGCTGTGCTTTGATTTTTAAAATATACATGTGTGTACATTAAATTATATATGTAATCTTTCTCTTAACTTTCCTTTCAGAAGGAGGAGAAAAATCTGTGCCTCTTCCTCTCAAGGGATAATTTGCCTCTGGGGTACTTTCTGACCCAGTGGACCCCTGGCAGAAGTAAGCGTGGACTGTGGCTACAGTACTGCACAGAGTCAACAGGAACCGAAGCCAGGCCATCGCCACAGCAGCTCCGGGGTGCAACCACTTGATCAATGCAGGAAATGCTTTGATGAAAGAATTCTTCCATGGCCAGCTTCTCATATTCTCTGGGACAGATACAAACCAAGAAAAATGAGTGTAGTACAGAATCTGATGTGTCCTTCCTGTATCCCCTGCTGGTAGCAAAAAGTATGTTTTGAACTTTTCTTTGTTACACACAGTCTGGGTAATAACAGACTGAAGGAAAATTAAGGAAGCCTGGGAGGCTAAGTTCAATGAAAAATGAACTGAGGCAGAGAAAAAAGAGAATTGAGAAAGTATCTGGGTGTCTGGAGAGCTTAGGGGAATAGAGAGGGAGGAGATATAATTGGCCAGATAACTTGAGAGTGGGAGAGGAGTGCAAACATTATTTTTGAGGCGCTTTGTTGGATATTTAAAATGTACTCCTACCTTTGGCATTTTCTCAAAAGGCAGGAAAGATTTGTTTTCAATTCTATTTTTCTGCTGGACTGAACCAGTGCCAAGACTGGACCATGTAGGATCCTGGGTTTATTTCAGTTACATAAGCAAACGTTACTGTGATTTGGAATAGTCAAAGCCATGAATGTTTCTCAACTTCCATTTTGTCAGCTGCTTGAGTTTCTATTCTGAGAGGTGCTAACTGTTAACATTGTTATTCACTTGTGTTCCCTAAATAAATTTTAATTAGTTTTAATTTGAACCAAGAATGTTCTACTGTTGACACTATGTCAAGAATGATCAAAAATGAAATTAATAAAGAATTCACTTCAGAAAAATATTTGCACTAATATTACAGTATTTTATAATATCTATCTCAGCAGAGTCACAGATAATTTAGAAATTTTAATTTAGTTTTTAAGTAATTTTTCCTCAAAGCAGTAATAGCCTTGGTAAAGAGTTTAGTTAAACATTATTTTTCACCTCTCATGCATTTTGTATAATGAAATTTTTCTATCATCTTCCAGTGGAATTAATTGCATTGGTGCAAAAAATGCAATCAAATCAGTGACTGAATTTAGCTTTTGAAACCTCATGTCTAGCTGGGATAGTTACTATATTCATTACACACTGAAAAATGATAAGCAGTAATCTTTTCTCCTAAAAAACTGCCAAAGATAAGTTTTTCGGGGCTCTCAAAATATCATAAAGCTGACAATACAAGAAATGTTAAAATATTGTTGGAGTTTTTAATGGACTCTTCCCTCTCTTCTTTTCCTGTTCTTTAAGACAATGGTAGTTAGTTGTCCACTAATCATTAATACATGATTTTCTAACAAAGACTTGCATATCTTTTTGGCTAAAAAGTGGCCAAATATCAAAGAGCTGGAAATTTGGGAGACAGCCTTTAGTCTTTTCCAAAGCATGTAAACCATTTTGAATCCTTTTGGGTAAATGTCTGATGAAGATCAAACAGAATTCATAAAGGGTTTCTGATACGCAGTGAAATGTGCCTGTGAGGACTCTACACATGATAATAATCTAAGCTGCTCTCTTTTAGTCCTAAAATGTGTAGAGTAATGTTACGTGACATTGATAGGAGGCCATTGATTTGGACTGAGCTCCCGCACTAGGCCTAGCAGACCAAACAAAATGGAGTCACTCATGCTGAAGTTCACACCCACCAAGCCAAAACTAAGTTGTTTATCTGATCTTCCAAGAAATCAAGAAAGAAAGGGAGATAACAGCCCAATCCCCAAACAGGCCAGTTTTAGCTGGCATGAAGCCCCTCTGCTTCAACCTTTACAAGGAAAGTAACTTTGAAATAATCAACCTGCTTTTTGTTCTCCGTTTCTGCTTTCCTCAACCCTTTTCTGACCATAAAACCAATATCCTCTGCTCGGCTCACGGGAACACTCATTCTATTTTGTAGAATGAGGTATTGCCCGATATTCTAGATTTGCAAATAAAAGCCAATTAAGATCTTTAAATGAAATCTGTTGTAACTTTGTCTTTTGACACTAATAAATGCACGAACAGGTTTCTTTAGAGAAAGTCCGTGATATGCAGGGTACATTTGACAAGTGCTGTGGTCAAATGTGATATTGTTTACATTCTCATTTTCATAATTTTCTTAAGTACTCTGTAATTTGGTCTTGGGAATGCTTCGCTAATTACGGGTGAGGAGGATGGGCCTTGTATGTGACAGAATGATTTAGTGTTCTGCAGTTCAGTGGAAAGAGGGTAGATGTGTTGAATATTTATGACGTTTTACCTTCTCTCTTTGTTACAGAGGCCTTACAACAAATTAAAACATGTGTGTCAGCTCCCTAATTATCTAGCTAGACTTTTAAAGATTGGCTAGTTAAGGCTGAATTTTATTCAAACACTACTTCATCTGTCATACTATTTTAAGTACATTAGCCTTGTTAGCCTATTATATGGCCATGATCAGTACTATTTAAATTGCCAACTTCTACGAGTTCCTTCTGTGTGCTCTGGCTCAGTCAATGCATTAGTGGCACTAGCTTAGTTTTGTCACAATTCTGGGCACATTGGCAGTCCCTGGGTGGGAGGCCTGGAGCTCCTGGGTAAACATAGTGCATCTGCCTGGAGCTTCAATTTTACTTGAGGATTTGGAAAAATATAAATTAATCGATTTAACCATTTATATAATATGTTCCAATTCTTTATTTAATTTGCTGCAAAGGAAACAAAATTATGCATTAGCTATGTTATGACTAAAACCCAAATGTTGTTGAATACTTTCAGGGATAGAATAACAACTTGTAAACCCAGAAGTATGGCTGCTTAGCTGTTGGAGTTCCAGCCAGAAACCGGCTGAGAAAAAAATGTGCTGACACTCATCCTGAGAAGTGTAGGGATGGAGCCCCACCTGGCCTCCAGGTGAGGCAGTCCAAAGCCTATTCCTATCTCATGTCAAAGTCCCCTGTCATTGCACAGGAACTCCAGGGACTGTTCAAGAAGGAACAGGAAGCCAAGGGAATGGGACTCATCCCGTTGTCAGGTGAGATCCTGAGAAGCATGGGTGAGCTCAGCATGGGCAGGGCCATTGAGGAAGTTCCTCCTTCCTCAGCTAAGCCACACTGGCCAGGAGGTCCCCGAGTCCTGAGAGCATCCTCCCAGAGCTGTCCCCGTTACTCTCCAGACCTGGCCGTGGCACCTCCCAGCTCCTGGTGCCTGAGTCCCTGCCTTTGACTGGGATTACCATTTATCACCCCCTACTGCACGCTTTGCCCCTCCCCGCCCACTGTGGTGACACAGTCTTGCTTAGGTCCAGTCCTAGTCCTGTGAGAGAGTTTCTGCCCTTGACCTTGGTCCAGATTTCCAGTTCCTGCCTTTATGTGGTCCATTGCCAGGACTATAGATGAGTTCAACCAATGAACAATATAAAGTTTGATTTTTCTGTGAAAATAAATATGAATGCAAAATGCACATGAATGCTTAAAATACCAGACCTCAAAGATGAGTGCTCTCTCTGTGGCCCCTTTGAGCAATCCCTGTGCCCCTGGGGGATGCATTCATCCGCTGCTGTTACAGCGCCACCAGCAGTCACTTTTGAGGAGTGCAGCTCCAAGGGACGACGGTACAAGGGAAAGAATTCCGCCAATGTGAGATGTCCTCCAGCAAAATCAGAGACAGTGTCCTTCAGAGGGCACGTGTCCTGCTGGAATCAGGGGAAATTCCATACGGTTTCGGATATTCAGCCTCCTAACTGAACTCTATGCAATGCCTTTATCCCCTCCTCCAAATCTGTGCAACATATCAAAGGAATAAAACCTATTTTCTTTCTTAGTGGTTGCGCCAATTTTGTGTAGTCTGGTTCTTTTCTGTTTTTCCATAAAATTGTTTTCAGAAGTACTTAAAGTTGTTTTGGTGAAAGTTGACTTTATGATGCTTGTTTTTCGTTTCAAAAACAACAAAGGCAGCTTTGACTGGTGTTGAGAACCTGAGCTAAGAGAGCAGGAGATAGGATTCCGGGGACTTTTAGCCTTGGCTCTATCCTCTTCCCACCCTGCACCTCCTTTCTTAGAAACATGGGGAGCCCAGGCAGGCATGAGAAACCTTTCTGAGCATGAGACTCTCACTGAACTGAAGGCTCAGAGAGAATGACTGCGCCCCCGTTGTCCTGGACGCACAGCTGCTGTCCTGATGTTTTCCTCCTTGCTCCTAGGATGGGGGCTTTCAGGATACATTCTGGGTGGGGAGAAATGCACCACAAGGCATCCCTAATTTGAGATGGGGCTGTGATGGTCTTTGTTTTAGCCAGGCCAGTTCCAGACCCGATGCAGTTAAACTTGCATTAAGGTCGAAGCTGCTGACTCCTCTCAGAGGGCCCCTCAAGTTCTGCCTCTTAAAAATATAAATATCAGTCCCGGAGACTGATCTTTGGCTCATGTTTCCTAGAGAAAAGTACTTGAAAAATTTGTAGGCATGTACATCTGTGCTCATTTCTATTCTGAAGGTGAATTGGCATGGTGCTGGTTAAGGAGGACCCTGTCATTGATTAAAATGGTCACCTTAAGAACTTGTTCCTAGTGCCTGACTGTGACAAGCATCCCCAGCCTGCCAGTGACACAGCATTTGTGTATCCCTTTTTGTCCTAAACCAGAGCTTATTCTTGTACCATATGTATAAAGACCGATACTTTGCAGATGGAAATTCCTCCCTGAGACAGAGACAGATCATCTGCCCCCTCCCATATGGCTTAGGAAGGGCACAGAAAGAGCCAGAGGAAGCAAGCTTAGAAAGTGAGAGCAAGGGAATAGGGAGAGAACAATTCAAAGACAGAACTGGGAGGCAGGTTTTAGAAATAGGAGGTTGTTGTCAGAGACCCAAGGGAGACATTCCAGGGAGCTTCCTGGGAGTTTATGTGGCCTGAATCTTTACACTGGACCTGGTGTCTGGGAGAAAGAGCCGTGCCTTCAGGGATGAGAGGCTGAAGGAAAAAAACTGGCTGCCTGCTGTGGGGATGCAGTGAAGATGTGGGGTGGGGTGGGGGCTAGAGAGAGAAAGCAAATTGGGATTAAGGAGAACATTCAGCCAGCCAGGCAATGCTGGGCTCTGCAGATCTGGGGCCATCTCTGTATTTGGTGTCTGAATGTTCTCACACTTTAATTAGGCAGTTCTTCCTCCTGGATCGGAATAGGGTAAGTGCACACCCTTTCCTTCTTCCCTGTCACCCCCAAGGAGATGGCACAAGGATGCCCCACTTTGGGACATAAATTCTAACATGTTTGATTTTTTAAAGATCAGTGTCATTACCCAGAAGTTATGCTTGCTGCGTTCACGGTCTGCATTTATGCTCTCTGAATTTCCCTTTTCAAAGCCTGGCTTTTCTCCAGAATCCCACTATGGCAGGAGATCAAGGGAGGGCCTCACACTCTCCAGCAAATGATAAAATTCCACAGCGAAGCTTTCCCAGCGTCACCCAGAAAGAACCCAGAATTAGCTGGGTCCTGACAACCATAGCACATGTCCCCACACAGGCTGCGCACCTTGACTGAGCAACACCCCTGTCCTCGGCCAGCAGAAGACTCGCTTGGCCTGGTGTGGGCAGACAACACGCCCCAGGCTTTTCTCTTGGCACAGCTTGCTTGGAGCCCTCTGCTCCCCCAGAGCCACAGCCCTGCCCCTCGCCCCAGTGACGGTGCTGTGGTTTGCTTATTTTGACATATGCGTTCCTAACACGCTGAAGATGAAAGGCAGGAAATGTGCAGTTCCAGTTCCCATAGCAGGGGCGGTTGGACCATGTTGCATCACATTTACAGAAAGGTCATGGGATCCAGAAGGCAAACACAGCATAGGCTGACCTCAGGCCCAGGGGCTGGCCTGGCACAGCACATGCTGGGCGCTGCCCGCCCCTGGGTGGAATCCCTCCTCACCACAGACTGACCACAGCCTGGCTCACTCCCACCACTGTCTGTGACTGAAGCCACCTCCTCACAAGGTCACTCCTCTTGGGGCTCCCCACTATCCCGGAGAGAGCCCACTTCCTCTCAGACCACTCCCAGTCCTGGCAGTGTGACTGCTGCTGAGGGATGAATATGGAACTCTCCCTGCCTTTCCGCTTCCCTTCAAGCAGGAAGTGCCTCCAGATCTTTGGGGCAGAGATTGGAGACCCCCAGTATTCTAAAAAAAAGTGGCAGAACTTGACCCACCAAGACCCAGAGGGGAAAAAAAGCTAAGGCCTTGCTGGCTTCCCTCAGTGGCCATTGGCCCTTCCTGCAGTCCCCAGCCAGCTAGATGATTCTTCTCTAAAACATGCCATCTTTTCCATAAGATACAGCTAAGCATCACTTCCACCCACACTCAGGTTGTTAAGACATTTGAAGAATAACTTGTTCTAGACCCAAAAAAAACCTTGCAGGAAGAATTCCACTTCCCTTCCTCCAGGTGTGTGCCATGTGGTTGGGTTACGGGGGCAGTGGGGGCTGTAACTGGCTTTGTATGTGGTCATTTCCTGCCTTTGGTGCAGTTAAACCAAGCCCTCGGTCATTAGGCTGCAGGAATACCATTTGTGCATTTCATTTCCTTGGGGGTGATTTTTTAAAGTGGCTCTAATGCACCTGATCACATTCAGATGTGTTCCCAGGGAAGCAGGCGATTTGAGAGTGCAGTAAAGCCAGCTTGCATGTGCCCAGATCCAGCTCAGTTTCTTGTTCAACAGAAGCCACTAAGGACAGGCACTCAGGCATGATAATGTTCTTCTGTGCCTTTGTCTGGGGCAGTTCATTAAGGCAGAGACACCTCAGCGCTGACAGGACAACCCCTTCCTGTGTGTTCCAGGGAAACCTAATTGACTACAAAACCTTTTTTTTTTTTTTTTTTTTTGATGTCACCACTGCCAGATACAAATCCAATTAGCAGCAGAGTTAACTCAGATGAACCCTGGGAACATGGAAATACCATATTCTACAGCTAATCAGACTCATGGAATGATGACACATCTGGATGTCGTCAGGAAGGTG